TTCACTTAAATGTTTGTTTTTTTTTTTAAAAACTTAAACTTGCTCTGTTACCCTTTTTAACAGAAATGAAAACTGAGGCTGAGACTGTTCTCTGATGTCCTTGACTTAATCTGAACAGGAACAGTACAACAAGTTTATTTAAACACATGAAAAAAGAAAAGCTTGTTGATTCTCTTCCTTTCACTTTACAGGGTCTGAAATCCTAGCTCTGCATCACTGGGCCAGGGTTCACTTTGTGAAGAAGTCCTAAACATGAACATTGCTAATGGAAATGTCCTAAAACAAGCAGATAATATGTGTTGGTATGCAAGTGCATGGCTACGCTGAGGAGAAGCCAGCCTATGTCCTGTCTGCATTTCAGCATGGTAACCATGGAAATGGGAACCAGCCTGCACAGAGTCTAACAAAGGAAACCTTGAAATGAAAATAGCAACAGTGGTGAGAGACCAGCCAAGATTTCTGAGGGGAAAAATGACTGCTCTGAAGATGGATAAACCCCCTTTTACCTGCACTAACCCTAAGATAAAGCATTTTATTCCCATTTAGCTGTTTGGACATTACTCCATTATACTGGTAGCTCCAATTATTAGTACTCGTGAAAATACACAAAGTATGTGAAAAAACTACTTTCATTCATTGAAAATTAACAACAGTGAAGAAAGACCACAATGAATAACATCTGTGTAGTAACTATGAAGCACAATGAAATTAAGAATTGCCAATCCTTTTACTTACTCTTTGATCTCTTAAATGAAAATTCTGTGCAACTGAATTAAAATAAATAAATGAAAAAAATAAAGTACAATTAAAAAATTGTTCCAGAGTCAGAGAGCACATAGCTCATAACTTATTGGTACGATCTCATGTTTGCTTTGCACAAATTATGCACAAATAAACATTAGCTGTTAATGTGTTTAGAAGTGTGATGGTAATACCCTGTATGCTGTCTAAGATAAACATCATTTGTACAAAATACAGTCCTGTAACACAGCATGAATGAAAGGCAAAGTTCCAAGAATAATATATAATAACGATCCTGCTACCTGACAAGCTCTCTGAAAGTAGTTCCAGAAATGAGAGATTCTAAGTCTCATTAAAAAAAAAAAAAAAAAAAAAAGGAAGAAGAAGAAGAAAGAAAGAAAAAAAAAAAAAAAGAGATTGAGGTCAAAAGTACCACCACTTCTGGATATCTAATGATTCAGCTAAAAACTTTATTTTTTCAGAAGGCATTGCACATTCAAAATACAATTTCCATTGACTTCATTCACAGCTGTGAATACACAGCAGCTTTGCATGTCAAAATGCACTTTCACAACCAGCTCAAGCCAGTGGAAGTGTTGGCTACCATTGAAAGAAACTCTTCCAGCTTCCCTCCCACCTCTGGCCACAAATTCTGACTGTCCCTTGTGCCAGTGCTGACACCTAAATATTAACTGCTCAAGTGAACAGGATCAGGTTAGCTGATCTCCAAAACTACCTGCCCCCCCAAAAAAGGGAAAATATTACTTTCCCCAAACCAAGCCCCAGTGGCACCACAGGGTACTGGTGGGAACACGCAGTCAGGAGTGGATGAAATGTCCTTGCAGCAGCAGCCCACATTCAGGTCAGCTTAACCAGATTGTGAAAATGCAGCTACAGTTTTGAGAACCCCTGGCTGAGCAAAGAGAAAGAGAGGAAGACAAAAGCTCCAACCACGTGTCAAATATTTAATTTAAATGACTCGCCTGAAATTGCACTGGGCTTTTGTGACCAAAAAAAAAAACCAACCAAAACCAAAACAAAAACCAAACAAAAAATACAGTGAAAGAGCCCTATTCTGCAAAGAACATAATCATTTCTCTCCAACCTGCCCTTCTTCACCATTCCTAGAGCATCTTCCAATTTCATCAGTAACAGAGGTAGAACTTCCAGCCCCTTTTCTGATCACACTACATCCACCTGTCCACAGACAGCCACAGCAAAGTTGCAGACCTGAGTCCAAAAGATTGCATGATACACAGGTTTCAAAGGGGAAAAATCCAGAGTCACAGAATGGTTTTGTTTGGGCAGGACCTTAGGGATCATCTGGTTTCATCCCGAGCCATGGACTTGGATCAGGCTGCTGAGGGCCCCATCTGACCTGGCCTTGAAGGCTGCTAACTTAGGCACTTCCTGACTTTTTCGCATTTAACTCAGTTGTTGTTTTATCACAGTTCATATTCCCTGGGAAATAAACATAACTAATCAGAATAAGAAGATTTCTGTTAGTGGTTTCTTCCCCTGCACCACTGCACAGCTCTTCAGCCCATTGCCAAGGCTGAAGGACACTGCTGCTTCCTGGGACAATGTGATGCTTTGCGTCAGCGAGGGTGAGATATGTACTGAAGAAGGATTACACTTGGAAATTCTGGAGTCCATATGAAGTGTAAGAGAAAATCCCTCCTTCCTCGTTCTGCATAAGACTGATTCTTCTTCCAGTCTGACTGGGTCTAGCAGGTTGAGGGGTTGGTGTCCTGAAGTGGTACATCTGTGTCCTCAAAAACATACACCTTATTTAGCAGGGATTTTTCAGTTCAGAGCAGAATGGTGTGAAGGATATGTGTTTGAAAGATTGGGGATTTTAAGAAATAGCAACACAAGAACACAAGGGAGACATTTGCAGATGTAAACATAGACCTCATAAAGAAACCTGCAGACCACTGCCACTGCAACAGCAAATAAAGTCTGTCTGAGCTCCATACCAAGGACAGACAGGGTTTATGTTAAAATCAAGCTGATAAAAATAAATTTCTTTCCAGAGGAATGAAATTTTCCAAAGGTTTCTTTACTTGGACTAATTTAGGTAGATTTTCGAGACGATGCAAATAACATCTTCCTGCCAAATTTCAAATATCTGCTCTGAAGCATGAGGGTACAGAAGCTTTCCAAAGAAAATGTTACCAGAATTGAGCCCAGGAAAGGCACTGTGTTTTCCACTGGCTTCACTCTCAGGAAGAGCTGGGGTATTTTGGCTCAGTTTTTTTTTCTTTTTTTTTCTTTTTTTTTTTTTTTAAGAACAGGCTAAGAAAGAATCAGGATGTCAAAAATGCAGATTTAAAGAATGACATTAACCTCTAATTTACAGAATTCAAAGATTTAAAGATTTGAAAAGTTACAAGTACCTGAGATCTGCTAAAACAGTCAATATGTTGCAATAGAAAGCATCACGCTTTGTTGTACAGGTTGTACTATTAAGTCCTCCACTTACTGTTATCCCCCAACACGGTCTACTTCTATCATACTATAATTTTTTGGCCAATTAGTAACAAGATTTCTATGTTAGCAAGGTTGTAATATCAAAATTTTAGTATTGTATTTTTATTTCTTTACCAATTGTTAAGTCTGAATGACTTCCCAAACATGAAAATACACAACAAAAGTAAAAAAATGCACATCTTTACTAACTATTGCATTACTTTTGGTTGAGTTTGGGTATGCAACAAAGCCCTTATGGGGTTTACTTAATATAGGTGGTAATTTGGAAATAAATACACTTATATAAAATCAAATTTATTTTGTGCAAATTTGTTTTCTTGCTGGACTGCCTAATTCAGCTGTTACAGCCCAGTTACACTCAATAAGCTGTTGAAGGTTAAAGAGCTCATCAGAATTTCATCACTGCAGTGGGACTCTAAATCGCTAGAGAAAACCTTCCTTCTTTCTAGTTCTACAAGATCAAAAAAAAAAGGCTTTAAAGTATTAACTCAGCAATTACACCTACTAACATCAAATGTCATGACACATTTAAAATCAAAAGCATGTCTGCTTTCAGCTGTATCACACAGTCACAGAATCACAGAATGGCCAGGGTTGGAAGGGACCTCAAGGATCAAGAATCTCCAACCCCTCTGTCACATGCAGGGCCACCAACCTTCCCACCTAATGCTAGACCAGGCTGCCCAGGGCCCCATCCAATCTGGCCTTGAACACCTCCAGGGATGGGGCATCCACAGCCTCTCTGGGCAGCCTGTTCCAGCACCTCACCACTCTCTCTGTAAAGAACTTATATAATGTATAAATGTAGACGAACCATGGATAGTGCCTCAACAAAGCAGGCCTATCCCACTTCTGTCAGATTCATTGCCGGGGGAATCCTGCTCCCCTAACCAGTCCTTATCTTCTGGTTTCTGCACTGCTTGACAAATCCCCTCAAGTCTTGGGACTTCTACCTTGGGACTTGTAACTCTCTGACAATAAACAAGAGTATAAGAGATGGATTAAACACAAGGGCAGAGTGGGTGTTTTGCCCAATGATGCTTTTAAGAATTTTCATTTCTTATTAAAAAAAACACCATAAGACTGTTGGTATCCCATGTATCTCATCACAGGATAATATTTTTGCATTCTACTTCATACCCTGCAGCCGCACATTCCTCTGCAGTATTTGCTACAGCTACTGAAAGAACAAGTCGGAACAGCTCACATGTAAAAACTCATTCTTATGCCTTTCAGTGACTTACTAATTAAGGGTTTGAGCGAGCATACTGTAATACTACCACTCTGAAAGTTCTTGGGAATTTGCTTATGGCAAGTGAATATGATGGCGTACATTTCCCAGGAAAATATATGTAATGGTAATTAAGTAAGCCAAGAGAAGGAGGAGATGGTTCAAGTTTCCCTGTCCTTTTCCAAGCAGAGACATCTGCTGAGCAGGGTGGGATAGGACCTAAAGGACTCTTGAAATCAGGAGTAGCATTCTCGGCAAAGAGCATCACCTTCCCTTTTCGGACAGCACAATCCCCACGGAACCGCAAACGCGCAACAAACGGCACCCACACCCCCGGCCTCCAGAGCTACCATCACCACCATTTTACTGAATTCCCAACGCGGTGCCAGCCCAGGGCTCGAACCTGCCGCAGGAACGCACGCTCTCCGCTCGCGTCGGCCCAGACCCCCGCCCCGCGCCTCCCGCTGCCCCGTCCCCGGCGCCGCGGCGAGAGGCTCAGCGGCGTCGCGTCGCCCCGCTCCGCCCGGAGCCTTACCCAGCGCCAGCAGCAGCGCCGCACTCGCAGAAGCCATGGCGCAGGGCGGTGCGGAGAGGTGCGGAGCAAGGAGCGCGGTGCGGTGCCGGCCGCGCGGCACTGAGCGCCACCTGCTCCTCGCCGCCACGAAATACCGCTCCTCCTCCTCTTCCTCCTCCTCCTGCCCGCCCACAGCGTCCCGCGGGGTCCCTGCAGCGGGCCGGGAACTCCGGCCCTCCCCCGTTTCGCTCTCGGGAGGGGCGGATGGATGAAAGCCCGCCGGTGCATGCCCGCTCCAACAGGACCTGCCGACGTCCGGCTTCGGAACCCCGACTTCTGAAGGGGTTCTACTGAAACTAATGAAAATCATGGTTAATTTCTGTTTGTTTGTTTGTTTTTGTTTTTGTTTTTATTTTTCCCCCTAGGAGCACGAAGTCTTGCTCGAGTATAACGATATATTCTTCTCTATTGCCTTAAACCCGCATCTTCTCCTTTAAGTGAAATTCCTGCAGATCATGCCCTCAGCTGTGAGAAGTGCAGCACGAGAGCCTTCCCACTCCACCGACTCCAGTGCTGGCCATGACAGTAACAATATATTGCTCATGCAAAATATTGCCCTAGCATCCGCCCAACATCCAGGGGCACAGTGTGAGTGAAAACTACAAATGATGTGGTAGTAAGGGGTTCTATGTGGAAAGAAATTAGAAAGCAGTGCACAGTGTGGGATTATCTCTGTTCTGTGTAGTTTTCAGCCTATGTAGGCCTATTAGCACTGTTTGAACCCTTCATATTTATGGTATTTGATACACCTTTTTCTCTCTCCCACAGCTCTGGTATATGAGACCTATTGAATACTGGATGATATTCTATTTTGCAGCAATGATTTTGGTGAACATATTGGACCTTCCTGGCATGAACATAATGGAGTGAAAAGGGCAGTTTGTCTGGAAACTTGAAATAGAAATGCTTCCTTCCTCCCCCTGCTCATCATCTGTGTCATGTCCTTGTGGTTTGTCACAGACCTCAGTTTTTATTTCATGAGCACTGTAAGAATACATGTGTTCTCTCACTATCATATTCCTTTCAAACACTCTGAATGTGAATTTTAAGTTAAAGCAGAGGCTGTTTACAAGTGGGACTGTCTAGCTGGTATTGATGGGTTCTAACCAATGAATTAAAAAAAAGTGGGTCTTTGGAAACTGTCAGGACATTCAGATCCTCGACGGAAGTACAGCAGAGACCCAGCACCAAACACTTCACACTGATCCCTTCCACATATTTACTCTTTCATGAAGTCATGCTGCTGAGCCTAGCCTGTGAGGTTGCACAGAGACAGACTTCACAGGACATCCTTACTTCTGACCATTCCCTCTGAATCAATCATTTACTAAGAATGACTCATGTGCAGTCCTTTCTTGGTGTCTTAACAGCCCTGCAGAATGTGCTTCAAGGGGCAGCTACCTACAGCAGGAACATTTGCTCCAGCATCAGGTGTTGGAGCAGTTCTGAGCTTTCTCTCTCTCTGCTGTGCATGTAAGAATGCTTGCAGCTCTGGGGCAGGGAGGGAAATCTATACTTCCATGAAGCAGAAAAAAGAACCACCAATTAACAGATGCTGTTGGAAGGACAATAATAAATGAAATCTACAGCACAGGGAAAAAGAAATATTTCTTAGTTAATATATACACCTGGAACTGCCCTCTATCCCACCTAAAAATAACCTTTGAAGACCAACATGTCGGTTTCCTAAGAAACAGTGTCTTTGATTCAGTTACATCATCCTTATTATGAACACACCCTCAGGATACGAAACTTTCTTCCTCATCCAGACACAATGTTGAAAAATAGTTTCACACACACAAAGGCCATTCCCAGACTGACATTTGTCTGTATCTGCAAATAATAGGTCAGAGGAGAATACGTACCGTGTGAATTATTGCATCCTTTAACCTTTAGTTGAATACTTATGTTTCAAATAGCTTACAAAGCATTTGTACCCTGCTATATAATCCTGAACTACCCATTGTGTGTTACAGAAAGCCAGGCTTTCTGCATTGAGTGGTACTTCATCTTTCTGACTTTTTTCCCATCCATTTTGTATGTATTATACATGTACCTTATGAAATTAGGGAAAGAATAAAGGAAAAAGTAAGGGAATAATTCCTTAATTTATTTTGTCTAGAATAACAAAAAATGAATCCACCGAACAGCTTGGTTTTTTTTTTTTTTTGTTATTGTATGTAAAGGAGGGTTGATAAGCAGTCTGTGCTCTCCATGACTTGGCTGTTTACTGGTGTGCTTTGTAGCACCCTGTTTTGTCTGCTTGTCACAGGGACACTTGCCAAAAATGCTTTATCTGCCTGAGCGTGTTTGTGGAGCTTCAGGCTTGGTTGTGCATAAGTATGGATTTGTTGCACATGGGAAGAATCTATTTCATTTGGAAATGCCAAGTAAGCCTTAGCCCTTCTTTTTTTTTCTTTTTTTTTCTTTTTTTCCCCTGTGGTAAGGGGAGCAAGTAGCTTGTAAG